CCCCCCCCTCTCCCTCTCTCTTCCTCTCTGAAATCAATAAAAAACATATTAAAAAATAAAAAGAGGATATGGGTGGGCCATCAACAGCCTCTGCCACACATGCCAGGCACTTGGCCTGAACGGGGGAGCCCAGGGGTCAGCACACTCCCGCCTGAGGGCCACCTGCCTGCTTGTGTGTGGCCTTCGAGGCCCAGGCCCTCAGATGGGAGGACAGTTTTGTTCTTAAATGGTTGAGACAGTTAATAGTTCGCGGCTCGTGAAAATCAGAGGAAACTCAGGTTTCCGTGTCCATAACGTTTTATTGGAACCCGGGCCCACGCGCTGGACAACAGCAGAGCTGAGCAGTGGGACAGACTGAAGGGCCTGCAAAGCGGAAGCTGTTTGCTCCGGGCCCTTCGCAGAAAAGGTTTGCCGACCCCTGGGGAGGGAGTAAAGCCGGTTGCAAAAATGGAAAGGATGGGGCCCGAGATTAGGTTTGGGGGTTCACATGGGGACGTTTCTCGGCCCTGGGACGTCTGGGTGGAGCCGAGGTCCCAGTGTCCAGGGCAGAGTCAGAGTGCTGCGGAGAGGAGGGGCGCTGGCCCAGGTCTCACTGGCCCTCGGTTTCAGGCCTCTGCAAAGCCAGTCGCGTTCCACTGGCAGAAGGAGAGGACGCCGTCTGCAGCGGTGGACAGAGCGCCCGCGGAGGCAGCTGCTTCCTCCTGCCCCCCGAAAGCCCCGCTGGAGGAGGCCTGCCAGAAACTCTGGAGGAACCTCAAGACCCTCCCGCAGACGGGCAAGAAGGTCCATCAGCAGCTGAAATCCCACCTGGCAACCATGAGCTTGCCATCACTCCGGGACCCCGAGCGATCAGAGGTGACTCACGGCTCAGCGACAGGAGCGGGTGATGCGTTCCCCGAGAACGTCTACACGGAGCCCTTTGTGGCCACGGCACCCTCAAGCCCCTCACAGCCTCAGGCTCGGAGAGACAGAGAGGACTCCTCCAAGAAGGCCTCGAGGTCAGTCAGCTGGAGCGAGGTGACCCCGAAGACCAGGGGTTGGCACCAAGCAATAGCGAGGGCCCTGTCCTCACAGGTCTCCAAATCAGAGCCCAAGGGCTTGGCAGGACCCCAGGAGGACTGTGTCCCCGAGGAGTACCGCCCACCGCCACCCTTTGCCCCTGGGTACTGCTAGCGAAGAGGTTGGCCCTGGCTCTGGGACCCTGGGTGTCAGGGGCTGCTCACACCCGGACCCCTTGCCTTCCACCCACCAAGCCCTCTGGGACTGAGAAATGTAATAGAGACGCGACTTAGGTCTGGCTCTGCAATTGCCAGGGCGGCCTGGTTATGTGAAGAAGAAGAATCAGTTAATAAGTTACAGCAAGAATCTGGGGCACCTACTGTGTGCACTGAGACTCTCCGTGTCCATTCTTTCCCTTTACTCCTGCCTCTGAGCAGGCCCATCAGGTAGGCACCTCCTGCACATTTCAAAGAAGAGCCAGGTTCCGAGAGGAGGAGAGGCATGGTCACAGTCTACTGGTGTGAGTGCCAGGGTTGGAAGTCATGTCGTTTGGAGTCCTTTTGCCCACAACCCCTGCACCCAGGCTCCGTTCTCCCTTCTGGACACGCCACCCCCTCCCCCACCCTCCCACTCTCCGGTTCTCATGCAAATGAAAGAGATGAGACTCGTGGAGGGCTTGGTGCACACGGGCAGCTTTAGGAGAAGCAAATGTGTCCTTTGCTTTAAAAAGGGAGAGGCAGCCGGGACTGTGGTTGAGGTGGACTCCGCAGGGGGAATCCTGGGTTGCACGGCTGTGTGGCCTTTGGCGAGTCACTAGATCTCTCTGGGCCTATTTCCTCATCTGGAAAATGGGGAGAAGAGTAGGACTGTCCTCTTGTTCGGGACGAAGCAGTAGGATGTATGTAAATCCTAGGGCTTTGGTGCATAGTAGGTGCTTTTGGTGCACAGGAGGAGTTTAGGGTGGGAGTGGGCTCCCTAGAAATGCTACACAGTGGGGGAGTCTGGAAGGTCCCTGGGGCTGCTCTCGGTTGCCCCACTCAGAATGACCACTGTTTGGACTGACTGGGGCCACAGATGGGGCCCCTGGGGTGGCTGCTGGTAGAGTGGGTGTGGGGCTCCCCAAATCCACAGAGTGTAGAGGTCTGGGATGTGGAGTGAGCTGGGCCAGGGGTCAAGCCCTCCTCTGTCGATGACTTGGGGTGTGGTCTTGGGCAAGCCATTCTGTTCCCTCTGAATGAAGTGGCTGGTTCTCAGCCAGGCCTGCTGGGATCCAATGAGATGGCAGAGGGGCAGGTGCTTCATAAACTCGAGAGTACTGTGCCCGTCTCAGTGAGTGGCCCTCCTGGCACCCCGCTGAGGCCTCCCCTGGCAGCCTGAATAAATAAGCAAGGAGTTGCCAGGCCGCCCAGCCAATCAATGATTCTCTCTCATCATTGATGGCCCTCTCTCTCTCTCTCTGAAATCAATAAAAAATATGTTAAATAAATGAATGAATGAATGAATGAATAAATAAATAAATAAATAAATAAGGAGTTAAACCTTCAGGCCCTTTGAAGAATTCAGGGATTGAGGAAAAAGGGGACTAGGGTTTGGGGGGCCCTGGGGCTGGACAGCATGCCTCATCTGCATACCTCGTCTCTGCTCACCAAACGCACAGCCACGCACCCCCAGCCTTCACAGTGGGGGAAAGATCTAGAAGTCAGACTCTTCCTTTTTCAGTCAGGGAGTTGGTAGCCCAGAGAGGGGGCAGCCGCACCCAGGATCACACAGGAAGAACAGAGGTGAGCTCCCAGGTCTCCTCCTTCCCATCCACCAGGCTTAAGGAAGGTGTGACTCAGTGATGTGTTTATTCTCAGAGCCCAGATTCTACAGTGGGATGAGGGTCACCCTGCCCTCCTCTGGCCCGGCTCCTCCTCCGTGGTCCTCAGATGCGGATGTGGAAGGTGCTGTGTGCAGAGAGGCAAGGATCAGTGTCATCAGGCAGAGGGCCGCCCTCCTGCATCTTCCCCTCAACACTCCCGCTGGGAGCCCCCCAGGTCGGCCAGTAGCCACATGGGAAGATGGGCCTCCTCCTCCAGAAGCCCTCAGCTGTGGCTCTCCTGACCCCTTCCCCCTGGGGTTGGGAGCAGATCTCTGAATCAGTTCACATTCAGACTGTAGGACTCTGAGTGAGTGGCTGCCCCTGTCTGGGCCTCAGTTTGCTCCCCTGTGAAGTGGGGATGATAGCTGTCTCCCCTTCGTAGGGCTGCACTGAGGACTGAGAGCGGGACACCCAGAAGGTGTCATTATTCGCGTCTCCATCTGCCAGGAGACCAGCCTTGCTTATCCAGGGCAGAGAAAGGAGGCCCTCGGTGCATGTAAAGACACCACCAATAAGAACAGCCACGCCAGCAACCACAGCACAGTTATTGCGCACCTACTGTGTGCCAGGCACTGCTTTAAATTTCATGGACTGACTCGGGGGCCAGTCAACTTTTTCTCTGGAAAGGGCTAGATAGTTGAAATGCCCATGACTAAACTCTGCCTTATAACTTGAAAGCAGCCATAGACAATCTGTACACAAAAGGGCATGGCTGTGTGCCCGCAAAACCATTGAATGACCTGGAAATGTCAATTTCATGTCACTTTCGTGTGTCATTGAATATTATTATTCTTTGCTTCCTCCCCCCCGCCCCCCACCCCCACAACCATTTCAAAATGCAATTTAAAAACGATTCTTAGCTCATTGGAGATACAAAAAACAGGTGGTGGGCCACCTCCTGTTGTAACTCATGCAACCCTTGCGATCCACCCCACAGTGGGGGTTCTGAGTCACCCCAGGGCTGCCAAATACAGTTGTGCAGACTGTTCACTGCAAGGTGTTCAGGCAAGTAGGACTGAAGTCCACCCATGTTTCACTCACCCAAAGAGCTGTGACCGCCCCCCAGGAGGAGCCCTGGGGCTCCTAATTATCCCGGGCTGAAAGGTGCAGGGGCTGAGGCCAGGGAGGTTGGGAAAGTTCCCCAAGCTCACAAATGAATGAAGGAAGGACCTTTCACCAAGGGAGTCTATGAACTAGTTCCGTAAGATCCTTTCTCACATGGGGAAATGGACTGTGTGGGGTGGCAAGAGGGGTCACCTGAGGAAGTCGGGCGCCCGCAGGATCATGTTTTGGAAGTCTTCCAGGGACAGCCGCCCATCGTGGTCCCCATCGGCCTCATCCAGCACCTTCTCGCACACCAGGCTCACCTCCTCGGCGCTCAGCTCGCCCCGCGTCAGCTTGGTCACCGTCTGCTCCAGGTCCCACATACAGATGTAGTCATCGTTGTTGAAGTCTGCACGGTAGAATGGATGGAGACGCGGGGTAGGCAGACTGCGGGTGGCAGGCAGGCTAGGCCAGCAGGGGCATATCTTGTCTCCATATTACAGAGGGGGAATCTGAGGCCAGGCCCTCAGAGGTACACTGGGTCTCGCTTTGAATTGGGCAGGGACAAGTTCATTCATTCGTACATTCAACAAGTACTTGTTGAGCACGTATGATGTGCCAGGTAATATGATACCTTTTTCATCCATTCATCACTCAACAAGTATTTATTGAGCACCTATTTTGTGGCAAGCACTGTGGTAAATTTTCATTCATTCATTCATTCATTCATCCATCCATTCAAGTATTTATTGAGCACTTAGATACCAGGCACCATGATAACTATTTTTCATTCATTCATTCACTCACTCAACAAGTATTTATGTAATGCCTACTATGTGCCAGGCCTAGGAAACAGATGGTGACCTAAACAGACACTGTTGCTGCCCTGGGTCTCCTCAGAGAGAAAGTCAACAAGAAGTGAGCAGATCAATGAACAAGAAATGAAGCAGCATTATCCCATGCTAGGAGAGAAATAAAATGGGAGTTGGAGGACAACTGGGGGGTGGGGGCTACTTTTGACCAAGAGTTCAAGATCAGAAGGAGCCAGGAGAAGGTGTCCTGGGCAGAGGAGAGAGCAGAGGCAAAGGCCTGGAGGCAGAAAGAGCTTGGCGTGTTGGAGAAAGAGCCAGGCCGGTGCGGCTGGAATTGAGTGAGCAAGGAGGTGAGGTCGGGAGGCATGGGGTGGGTGGAAGACAGGACCAAGTTGGGCTTTGAAGCCCTTGGGGAGACACTGTGACAGCAGGGCAGCCTCTGGCCCTGGGGTAGATCTTGTTTCCACCCCCCACCGCACAGCCCTTACCGCCGGCCCTGCACACACCATAGATTTTGAAAGCATAGTAGGCCTTGAGGTCACGGGGAGCCATTTCACTCATCACAGAAAACATGTCCAGGAAGTTGTTCAAGGTCATGTGGCCGTCCCCATCCTCGGAGAAGACCTGGGCAATTCTCAGGCGGAACGGGTTGTCCTGGGAACAGGAAGCGGGGAAGCCATCACTGATTAGGCTCTCAGGCTCCAGGTGGTCTCCCTCTCGGCACCCACCTTCTTGGGAACCTCCAAGTGCCCCCCACCCCCCACCAAGACTCCCTCCCTCTCATGGTCCCTGGAAAGGACTTCAGGCACTTCCACTCTCTGCCCCTGGGGTCTGGGTGGTGCTATCCCTACTTCCAGCTACAGAGGCAGCCACATGACCCTGGTAAGGACCACCAGGGATTTCCATTCACCTGGTAGCTGTGATTGACTCTGGGATAGGCATGTGACTTAAACTGGCCAACCAGAAGCTGCCCTGGGATGTTTTTTGAAAAATTGGGGTGAAAGGGCCTGCTTTCTGTTGCAGAGCCGACAGGAGGAAATCTGGGCACTAGGTGTTCCCTTCACTACCCCAAGAGGAAGGGCTGATTGAGACTGAAGCCTCTCCCTGGGGGAGCTGAGAGGTGGAAGAGGATTCCTGAGCCCATCCTCAGAGACCCTGGTCCCAGCTGTACGGGTGGATGTTTTGCTCATGTGATCGAATCCATTCTGTCCCTCTTGAATGAGGTTTTTGTCCCTGATGATACAAGAATCTCTCTGCACAGTCCCTCACTCCACAAGTCCCTTTTAGAGACACAAACCGAGTGTTGACTATCCAGCTGAGACGAACTTGCATGTAGCGGTTCCTACCATGAACAGACGTAATGTTCCCTGAGTCCTTTCCACCCAACAGGCCTTGTACTAAGCCCTTTACCTGCATTATCCTACCTCATCCTCCCAACAATCCAGGGTTTGAATCCCATCTATGTCACGTCCTGGCTGTGTGGCCATGAACAAGTGTCTTAAACTGTCTGAACTTCGGTTTTCTCATCCATACAATGGGAATAATTGCAGCACTCACCTCATAGGAATGCAGCAAAGGACAGCGCTACCATTTTCCCCTGCCCGCCCCATTGCCTAAGCAAGCATACCTTCAGCTCAGGCATGGTGCCGATGAGCTCGTACGGCACCTTCACGTCAGGGCAGCTGGTGTAGTCGAGGGGGACGAGCTGGGGGGCCAGGTCCTGGTAGCGATAGAAGAGCCTGGTGTAGGGATGGAAACACCGGGAAGGTTGGGAGACGATGGGAGGAAGAGGACTTGACCCTCCTCTCTCACTTGCAGCTGCTCACTCCATGCTGCAAGATGCTGGGTTCCTAAGAGCCATCAGCCCTGCACCTGGCCTTCAGGTCCCTGGCATACAGGCCCCTCTATCTCTTTGGGGTCACAGCCAAGGTAGAAAGCGGGCTCGGGGGGGGTGGGGTGGGGGGTAGGAAGTAATCAACCAGGAATCTTGTATACAGATATACAAGACCCATGGCCACAGACAATGGGACAGTGAACGCCTGGGGGAGGGGGCGGGGAGGGGCTGGAGGTGGTCAATGGGAGGGGAAATAGGAGACATATGTAATACTTTCAACAATAAAGAATTATTTAACCCTCTCCTCCCACACACACACAAAAGAAAGAGGGCCCGAGAGCTCAGGGAGACCTGAATGGGGAAAGCAAGCCAGGAAGGAGGAAGGACTTCCTGCAGGAGGAGGCATTGGTGCTGGGCTTTGAAGCAGGAATAGGAGCTCACCACGTAGACTGGGTGGGCAGAAGGGAAAGTGCTTAAGGTCATTGCACAACAAGCATTTGGAGACTCTGAGCCAACCTATGAACCTCTGGACACCATCACATTATCGGCAAGGTCATGCCTCTAAGAGCCCCATCCTCACACTTTGCTTTTCTCCCTCCATAACGAGAAGCAGGGCTCCCTCAAGGGGGCCGAGCAAAGACAAAGGCTAAAATTCAGGTTTTTGAGAGGGTGACTGAAACACACTTTGGAAAACACCAAATGACATACACACTGCCTAGTCGGGGTGGGGGGGCTCTCCACGCTGATGACCCACCTGGTGATGCCATACCTTCACTGGAGGAGCATGCTGGGCAGCAGCCTTGTAGAGACCCTCCTTGATGACTAGAGGTCCCCACGCTTCTAGGGACTGTCTCGGAAGGGAACAAGGAGTTCCTGGGTCAAATGACCACTAGGAACTCAAGGAGGGAGTGTCTGGGATTCAATCATGACCACCCAGTTCCTTATTTGGGTCCCCTCAGGGAACAACCTGAGTTTGGGTTTCTGTATGGACTTGAGCAAGTCCCTCTAATCCAGTGGTTCTCAACCTTCTGGCCCTTTAAATACAGTTCCTCATGTTGTGGCCCAACCATAAAATTATTTTCGTTGCTACTTCATAACTGTAATGTTGCTACTGTTATTAATCGTCACGTAAATACCTGATATGCAGAATGGTCTTAGGTTCGTTCGACCGCCAAAGGGGTCGTGACCCACAGGTTGAGAACCGCTGCTCTAATCCTCTGAGCTTCAGTTAGTCTGTCTGACAAATGAGAAGCTTGGGACAGATGACATGTCAGCCCTCAAACTCCTTGGGACTTGGCCCATCTACCAAGCCAGGGCCAGCCGCCCCTGTCCCAGCCTCAGTTTCCCATCAGTAATTCGATAACGATGGCCAGGGTGACCCTGCGAACTGTCCTCACCCAGACAATGGGGCTCACTCATGAAAGGTGTGCCCATCAATAATGGATGCCCTGTGCCCACATAATTGGACCCTTGGCCTCGATCACTCTGCAGCCAAACCCTGGGAAGCTTGGGTTTCACAGCTCCAAGCCCTGGGTCGGGGCCTCTGGACAATGGCACCAGGGGCCAGGCGGTGATGTGGGATACCCCGCTATGCCTGTCTCGCTCATGCCGCTGGGGACTTGCAGCGGCCTCAGGGTGCCTCCCGCACCCTCACCTTGAGGCCAACTCCAAAGCCCAGAGCTGGCTGTGGACGCTGCCTCTGGGCTCCCAGCCTCCAGTCCCAGCCTCTTCCCATTGCCTCAGGGGCCCTTCTAACATGCTGATCTGTCTCTCCCCTGCCCACACCCTCCCCATGGCTCCCTGCCACCCTTGGGGGAAAGCCTAAGCTTGTCAGCCTAGAGGCATGACAATATGACGAGATGTGACTGCTCAGCCTCCCTATCTCTGCCTCCATCTACTGAACATTCATTATCACTCTGCGGTGAAGCATTGGGTCTTGTCAAATTGCAAACATCCTCCGGCAATGACAATGTATAGAAAGTTGTGTCCAGGTCTTCCTCCCTTCATCCCCAGACTGACCTCATGATTTCCTTCCTTGTGAAGAAGGTGCAGTCCTGCGGAGAGAGATGGTGGCTTGGCCCAGACCCTACCCAGGGGGTCTCCTTCCTCCTCCCCGCTCCTCCCACTCCCCATTCTCATTTCTACCGATGCCACACACAGGAATCCTTGTGACTGCACACCCAGGACCAAGGGATGCCCTCCCCACCCCTCAGGCCAGGAATCCAACGCTGACGAACCCAGTGAGGGCCCCACTCATCACTCCTACCTGATATTCTTCCAACTGCTCATGGGTGAAGACTGTTTGCTTGTTGCCCATGGTGAAGGCCACCGCCAAGAACAGGCTCCAGAAACCCCCAGTCTCCTCAATGCCACCCAGTTGCCAGGCTGCCACACACCAGTGTCTGAGAAAAATCGCCCTGCCCTGGCTGTCACCCGCCCACCCGCCCCATCACCCCCAGCCTGGGGGAGACTCAAGTTACAGCCAAGCTCTTTGGACAACAGCCTGAGTATGTCCATGGTCACCAGGGCAAGGAGAAGGGCTGTGGGAGGTCACAGAACCTCAGACCACATCTTCGACCACCAGGTGAGCCTGCGAGCAGGGGATACCTTCCAGAGACAGGCAGCGCGGTGTGGAGGCGGCAAGCATACCCCAACTCAAATACCAGTTCTCCAACCACTAGCTGTGCAGCCTCAGGCCAGTCACCTGACCTCTCTGAGCCTTATTTTATAAGGCGTAAATTACTTTAATACCTACCACATAGAATTCTGAAGATGCTAGTGGTCATTATTGCAACCAAAACAGCCGAACAAGATGAACAAGCTCCAAGATCTGCTGCACAATATTGCACCGATAGTCAACATTAATGGACTGTACACTTAAAAATTTCTTAAGCCCGGCCGGTGTGGCTCAGTGGTTGAGCATTGTTCCAGGTACCAAGAGGCCGCTGGTTGGGTTCCAGTCAGGGCACATGACCGGGTTTCAGGCTTGTTCCCCAGTAGGGGGCATGCAGGAGGCAGCTGATTGATGTTTCTCTCTCATTGATGTTTTTATCTCTCTCTCCCTTCTCCCTCTCCATTCCTCTCTCTCTAAAACTCAATTAAAAAAACATATTAAAAAATTTCTTAAGAGGATAGATCTCATGTTAAGTGTTCTTACCACAAAAAAATAAAATAAAATAAAAACATGCAACTAGCCCTAACCAGTTTGGCTCAGTGGATGGAGCGTTGGCCTGTGGACCAAAGGGTCCCAGGTTTGATTCCAGTCAAGGGTATGTACCTTGGTTGCAGGTACATCCCCAGTAGGGGGTGTGCAGGAGGCAGCTGATCACTGTTTCTCTCTCATCGATGTTTCTAACTCTCTATCCCTCTCCCTTCCTCTCTGTAAAAAATCAATAAAAACAAACAAACATGCAACTATCATGTGATCCAGCACTTGCACTCTTGGACAGGCCCAGATAAAGGAAAAGGTATGTTCACACAAAAACCTGTAACAGCCCCAAATGGGAAACACCGATATGTCCTCTCCACTTAAAATATAAGTTATTGCCCTGGCCAGGTTGCTCAGTGGTTAGAGTATAGCGGGCTTGATTCCCAGTCAAGGGCACATGCCTCGATTACAAGTTCAATCCCTGGCCCTGGTCGGGAGGCAACCAAGTGGCGTGTCTCTCTCAGGTCAATGTTTCTCTCTCTCTCTTTCTCTCTCTCTCTCTTCTTTCTTTTTCCCTCCCCCCTCCTTTCCACTCTCTCTAAAAATCAATGGAAAAAATATCCTACTCCCTGGGTGAGGATTTTTTTTTAAAAAAAAGACTATAAGTTATCAATGGGGGCAATATTAACCCCAAATTGGGGTGGTTTGGGGTGGGAACAAGACTTTTTGCCCCTCCCCAAAGATATTGCAATGGTGTGTGGCCCTCCAGAGGTTCACCTTCCTGACAAAATCTTACTCATCAGTATTTAGCTTCTCTCATTAAATTAAAGTTGTTTTTTTAAGGGGATGATAATGAGAAAAAAGGTTGAGAAATACTGTCTGAAAGGTATTCACACCCACTTCCAATGGGTGATTTCATGGTGTGGTGACAAAAGCAAGGATGGAACACTCAGCGTAGGTTGGATTACAGTTGTGCCTCCGTTTCCCTACCTGCGAAATCAGTCTGGATTATGTCCTAAGGTGACTGTGGAAGTAAGTGAGATGATTCATATGAAGTGTTAGCTGTTGTCATAATCATCCCCATTTTATGCGGAAAGGGAAGGTCAGAGACAGGAAGACACTTGCTCTCGGGTACAAAAGCCTTGAGGGCGCCAGAGGCCAGCTCCACAGCTGCAGGGCTGGCGGGGGGAGAACTCCTTTCCCCCGTTGAGTCTTTCCTGTCCCTCTCTGAGGAGCTGGTTCTGCCACGGACGGTCCCAAGTGGGAACTGGCACAGGCTGGCAGCCCGCGTCCTTCCCTTTGGGCACCCGTCCAGTTCTGGAATGCCCAAGGGTGAGCCCCGGCTGGAGAATGGGGCAGTCGCTTGCTGCCTCCTGCAGGTGGAACTGGGAAATGCAAGCACCGAGACGGTCCCAAGTCGTCTACTAGTGTATTAGGGAATGCTCCTCCGCCCCGCAGCCCCCCTCATCCTCCCCGTCCCCCCATCCCCATCCTCAACAATTTGGGCAACAGTAGTACAAACTAAGATTCACATTACCCATTGAACCCTCAAAATACGGCAACACAAGAAAACGACATCCAAATGTACGCAAAACACTCAAAAAGACGAGGGGTTTTAAGAAATGGAATTTGTCAAATTGGCTTCACTGGGAGGGAGGGGGGAGCAAGAGCAGAGAAACCAGAGTGTGTGCCACAGCCGGAAGTGTGTCGGAGGAAGCGGTAGAGCCGGACTCTCTGCCCCGCCCACAGACCCAGAAGTGTGCCAAAGGCGCATGAGCAGCGCCTAGCTCGCCAATGAGGACGAAATGAGGCGGGATTTCGGCCGGATATAATGTTCCTAAACAGGAAGTGTGGCAGTTTACCGAACTGCGGGCGGGCGCCATGGAGGCCTACGAGCAGGTCCAAAAGGGGCCCTTGAAGTTGAAAGGCGTCGCAGAGCTCGGCGTGACCAAGCGGTGAGTCCCAAGAGCCGGCGGGAACCCCATCTTCTGCCCTTAAGCCACTTTCCGACACCTCGGCCTCTTGCTCTCTGATCCGATCTCACCCCATACCCCCCCCGCCCACCACCATTCCTCCGTCTCCCCTTTCAGGAAGAAGAAAAAGAAAGACAAAGACAAGGCGAAACTCCTGGAAGCTATGGGAACGAGCAAGAAGAACGAGGAGGAGAAGCGGCGCGGCCTGGACAAGCGGACCCCGGCCCAGGCGGCCTTCGAGAAGATGCAGGAAAAGCGGGTGAGGCGGGTGGGCAGGCCGGGGATGCCCCGCTCCGTGGGCACGCGTCTCCCGGAGCCGATGCCTAGGACGGGCCGGGAGACTCGAAACCCGGACGCTTGAGGGATGGCGAGCGGCCAGGGAGGACCTTGATTCCGGGGAGAAGATGCTGTGTGAGGGGAAGAGCCCACTGCCTGGGAAGCCCCTCGGGCCGAGTGCAGGCAGAAGGTAGAGCTGCAGGTGGCGTGGAAAGGAGCGGGAGCCGGAGACCCGAGTTTGAATCCCAGTGCCGTCTCTCATTCGTCCCGGGACACTGGGGCAGTAACTCGTCTTCTCCCCGTGCCTCGTTTTTCTAATCTGTAGGATCAGGATAGACCCCCTTTCTTAAGAAGTATGGGACCTTTGAAATGCACGTATATTGCATTTGTCATTAGGTCTGGTATAAAGTCAGTGCGCATTGGTGTTAGCTGTTGATATTAAAGGGTCATGCTCCCTGCTGTAAGTCACCACAATCAGTTTCCATGACAACATTGTTGGCAGATTCAAATGTCTGTTGTTTATTTTAATACAGCGGTTCTCGACCTGTGGGTCGCGACCCCTTTGGGGGTCGAACGACCCTTTCACAGGGGTCGCCTAAGACCATCGGAAAACACAT